GCCAATATTCAAAATATCATATTATTGTCTGAACCCATTCAAATAATTTATTTTTGACACAGATAAGTAACCTCAATAACTAAAACAAACTCCTCCAACAAGACCAAGACAGCATCTCTTCAAGGTTTAGGTTTTGCCCAGAATTCCCGATACATGGAGTAGCCCATACCTAAAGGAAAAGAATACTAGTTAGGCCTTTAAATATTTTCTTCAATATTAAGAAAATAAAAATCAGTTCATAAAATAGCTAAAAGCAGCACCTTTGCTAGCACTGAATATTTAAAAGAGAACAAGACCCTAGGAAGCTTACACTCTTGACTTCTTAAATAATTTAAATTTCCTAAACTCTACTTATATCCCAAGTAGCTAAGAGCTAGTCTGACCAGCTTATAATGTTGTAATAAGAGAAATCGTATTTATCTGGAAACTTTAAAAGGAGTCACTCTTCCTCCATAATACCATATAAAGTCAGTGTAATCATGCCAAGAAAAGTATCTAAAACCCCTACTTTAAAAATCTTTCTTCCTTCAAAAGCTCAGTAAAATAGCAATCACATCTCTCCCAGAAAAGAAATGTTACACCAATCATATTTGCATGTTTATACTCTTCAATGAAATTATAAAGTCAGTGATGTACAGGATTATTTTTTCTTTCCTTCTTCAAAACCTTAGAATATCTCAGAGAGTAAAACCTATGTGTCACTACTTGAATTATGTTTATTAATTCAATTTTTATTTTGCTCTGTTTGTAAAGAAATCCCTTAATGGGGAACCAAAATTTGAAAATTTCCTATAGGAACCTACCAAGAGTCATTGCTCCCACGACAAAGCCTTGGGCTGCCACACGCATGTGGATCAGATGAAGGGACATTTTAGTATTTCCCCTGCTCTTCAATCTGTATAATCCATATGCGACGATTGCTGCAAAACCTGCCATTCCTGTAAAATAAAGTCACAAGTATGTCAGATGCATAAGACAAGGAGACCATGATGATTTTACCATTATTGATCCAAATAAATGACTGAGGCAAAAATCTCAAACAGTGGAGGCTTATAAAGGCAAGAGTTTGAGGATGTGCCCAGAAAAAAACATGAACTTTAAACAAGCTACAGCTATTTTTTCCAAAGGGGAGTTTGGAATCTTCAGCATTTTAAAGTAAAGGCACACACAAAGAAGGAAAAAGAAAATGGCAAAGGGGACCGATGAAGTATCCGTTATACTCTTGTGAAGCCCAAGAAAGATACATTTTACATAAAATAAGGGAGTAAAGAAATATCACTTATGTAGATGTCCCCGGTAGGAGGAAGAATGTCTGATTCTATCTTGTCTCCAGTTCTATTACTTATAAAGTAAACTTATAATTCATTATTATTGTGAAATTAGGTAGGATTTGGTTTTAGGTGCTAGACATAGGTACAATTTTTATGCTCTTACTTGTGGGAAACTAGCAAGAAAGTTCCTCAATGAATAATCTGAATGGTGACTGAGGCTGTGATTTTCTTTTTACACCTTCAATGTACATTCTATTATTTTGAGTGTTAGCTAACTGGGTTTTTCATTATTTTCCTGTTCAGAACCAAATTTTTTTTTTTTTTTTTTTTTTTTTTTTTTTGGTTGCAGCTGTCATTGTTGTTTGGCTGGTCCGGGCTGGGGATTCGAACCCGCCACCTTAGGTGTACGTGGCTGGCGCCTTAGCCGGTTGAGCTATAGGCACCGAGCCAGAACCAAATTTTTTTAAGCAAACAGCAGCATATCCAGAAAGTCAGGATTATCTTTAAAACTGTAGGTCTGTCAAGCCAGCAGATGAATTAAGAATATAATTATTACAATAAAATAAATGTGCCAAAAGTCTTATATGGAGTTAAAGAATGAAATCCATAAATTTTCCTATCTGTCCTACTTGCCTCCCTGAAGGGAATCAATATAGCAGAGACAACTGTACATATTACTATCACAGAAACAGACAAATCTTACCTATATTAAATTCAAACTTTGAGATGCTGTACTGGGAACAGTGTAAGTAAGCTTTGTATAGCAGAAAGCAACAGAGTGATGTTTAGAGTTAAAAGAATCATGACCCTAGAATTCTATACAGAACTAAGCCCTCATTCATTTTGAGGGCAAAAGCATTTAGGACATGATCTTGTATGTTTTCAAAGTATACTATCATGTACTTAAACAAAAACCTAGAGAGAGGTAATATGGCTAAATGAAAATAGTCAATCAAAATGGACAGTCCAAGAAATAAAAACAGAAACAGGTGAGCAGCTAAGGTGCCAGCCATATACACCAGAGCTGGCGGGTTCGAATCCAGCCCGGGCCTCCCAAATAATGACGACTACATCCAAAAAGTAGCCAGGCACTGTGGCAGGCACTTGTAGTCCCAGCTACTTGGGAGGCTGAGGCAAGAAAATCACTTAAGTCCAAGAGTTTGAGGTTGCTGTGAGCTGTGACACCACTGCACTCTTCTGGGGTTGCATAGTAGGACTCTGTCTCCAAAATAATAATAATAATAAATTAATTAATTAATTTCAATGCAATCCAAACCCCAAAGAGACATTTCCCCCCATTTGGGGACTTGACAGGCCAATTTCCTTTTTTCTTTGTTTGCTTTTTCCTTTTAAAGAGATGGGGTGTCAATATGTTGCCCAGGCTGGAGTGCCATGGCTATTCACAGGCATTACCATACGACAGTCCCCAACTCCTGGGTGCAAGTGATGCTCCTGCCCAGTCTCCCCAGTAGCTGAGATTTCAAAGTAAACAGAAAAACTCTTTTTGAGAAGGTAAAATAATGAAAGTTTACTAGCTTAGAGTTATTTAAACATACCACTAAGTTTCTGGTAGACACAGAAACCGATCAAAGCAACAAAATAGGTACAGTAGTTAAGTGAAACTTCTCTCATGTGTATGTTTAGAATATGACATTGTTGGCAGATCAAATCAATGGGAAAAAATGCAAAAAGACCCAAAACACTGTGTTGCTATCTACAATATAGAGTAATTATAATTCACTTAGAAAAAAACAACCAGCGCCTGTAGTCCCAGCTACTTGGGAGGCAGAGGCAAGAGAGTTGCCTAAGTCTAAGAGTTTGAGGTTGCTGTGAACAGTGATGCCATGGCAACACAGTAAGACTCTGTCTCAAAAAAGGAAAAAAAAAAGTAACAGACAAACAACCTAGTTAAAACAAAAACAACCAGTACAACAAAGTTAATTCACAGAAGGAATTACTAATGACTAATAGACATGAAAAGAATGAATAATTCATTCTTTATTCAATAAGTCATTCATAATAGAAAAAATGACTAATAAACATGAAAAGATACTCAACCTTAAGCAATAATCAAATAAATACAAATTTAAACAAGATATTTTAATCTATGAAAATGGCAAAAGTTAAAAAGAATGATAATACCTAGTGCTATTATATAGCATGAGAAAATCAGCCTGTCGTACCCAATTATTTGGTGCAAATAATTGTTTTTGTACAATTAAATATATAACCATTTCTAACTTTTACTTACACACACACACACACACACACACACACAGTTTTCCCAACTTTTTGTAAAATTGTATCTCTGCAAGAAGACTGTCCAATTGGCGGTGGGGAGGTGCAACATAACAAGAATAACTCCAATGTCCATCAATAGAACAACAGTTAAATAAATAAATGGATTCACATACCTCAAGGAAGGGAAGTATGTAAATGTCAATCCACTAAGGTGCATAAAGAAAATTTTATATTTTTATCTGACCCTTTAATGTCTTCGTGTATGTTTCATATGTTCTAAATATGTACAAACAAAGGTACTCTTAAGTGATTTAAAAATAGGCAAACTGGTGGCACCCGTAGCTCAGTCGGTAGGGCACCAGCCACATACACCAGGGCTGGCAGGTTCAAACCCGGCCCAGGCCAGCTAACCAACAATGACAACTGGGACAAAAAGAAAAAAATAGCCAGGCATTGTGGCGGCTGCCTGTAGTTCCTGCTACTTGGGACGCTGAGGCAAGAGAATCACTTAAGCCCAAGAGTTTGAGGTTGCTGTGAGCTGTAACACCATAGCACTCTACCCAGGGCAACAGCCTGAGACTCCGTCTCAAAAATAAATAAATAAAAATAAATAGGCAAACATACATAAACACACTGGCAGTACATGCTCCTATTATTTTTTACTGATGGAATGAATGTATAATCAAAATCTTTATAGACCACTGTTGTTAAATATTGTATATCTACATATTTAGTGATTTGACTATAAAAATATACGATATAAAAATACACCTATATGCATCCATATGAAAAGGTAATGAAAATACATGGCTAAAGAAAAATACGGTTTCATTTAAAAGTATATTATAAATAATACTTTATATAATATATGGAAAAGAAAATGCTGACATATGTATACCACCTGCTGCTGTCTTTCAAAGTCAGGATCATAGTGCATGGCCCCTTTCTTTTTTTTTTT